ACACACTCTCAAATACTCTATTCTCTCTGGTGTACACGACCTCATACTCTCCAAATTCTCATAATCTTTCAATCTCACTCACAAAACAGTTTCTTAGCCAAAACTGATTCTCTTTGACCCAAACTCTTCATTCTCTGAATACACTCGCCTAAACACTTCATCCTCACCATATTCTCACCATTTTCTATTCATTCTCACACTCCATTCTTCAGCGCGTGAGTCATCAAAGAAGTTACGCATAAATGCTTTTTTGATGTCGCTCCAGGTTGTGAGAGAACCTGGTGGTAGTTGTCTCAGCCACTGCAGAGCTTCTCCAGATAGAGAGTATTTGAAAATCTTGCAGAGAGGATAGTCTTGAGGGACTCCATTGGCTTTGATGACAGTTATGAGATCCTCGAACCTCTCCAGATGGTCCATAGGATGCTCATGGGACAACCCACCGAAGGGTATTTGTCCTACAAGTGTGTAGTACTGCGGCTTGAGCTCGAAATCTCCTCTCTGAATAGCAGAAGGGCGGATGGCTGATCGGTTGGTATAGAACTGATCCGGACGGTTGTAGTCAGCCAAAGTTCTGGCTTTGTTAGCCTCTCCTACAAGTTGAATGAGGTCTGTAGGTGCAGTTTCTTGCTCAGGAATGATCTCCTTCTGAGCATTCAGCTTCTGACCTGCTGCATTACGTAGGTGACCATCTTGATCACGCATTCTATTTTGCCATTCTTTAGATCCTAAATAATCAAACTTGTCCTACTTTTTCTCTTATCTTATCTTATCTTATGATTGTTACATGACATTCGAAGAAATCAACGTCTAATAGATTCATATGCATCTTTTTAATTTGAGTAGATATGTTACTAAACTATGTGTTTGGTCTTTTAACAACTAAATGGTTTTTCTTTATTCATTTACTTCTGTGTTCAAATTTGATATGACTTTACAGCATTACATTTCATATAAAAAAATGTGATTGCACATGAATAGTTCAAGAAATAAGATTTCTTACTAACTCTTATTATTTAAAAAATGTTTACTATGATTATTATGTCTCAATTGAATTGAGGCCTAAATCGCATTTAATGAACTATTCTCTTTCGCTTTATATTTAAATAATTTGTTTTTGGATAACCAATTACATCATCATAACAATATCTAATAATGTTACATATGATGATTAAATACCTACAACATATACAATATTGATGAACAACACCACTGATTATGATTCCATGATGAAGCTCTCTCAAAACACTTGGATCAACTTACGGTTTTGCATCCAGGCATCCTCGATGGACAGACTCTACCTACAATACTTTGGAACTTCCTATAAGCTTTGCATCCAATAATCTACAAGAATGCGTAGTCTGGGATTTTTTTTTGTCTTCAACTTAAAACAGACTCTATGAAGGCTCTACAAACCAAACTGGTAACTCGGCATCGATATGAACAATAAAAGACGATTGATTTCTGGTACTTTGCACCAGACTATTCGCTTTGGTATTCAGTGGGGATATAAATGATTTCTGAGTGATTGAAGCTTCTTAAAGGATCTTGATGTCTTGCAAATAATTTAAAAAGACTGGTCATTCCTTTGGTGCAGAAACCATCTTCACCAATTGCAAACAATCCATCACAAAAATGACATGAAATTGACATAAGTTTCTCATACTTTCCATTGCCCATATTAGAGCTTCCACCTCCGAGTGTAATGGCGATAGGCTTACTGTCGTATTCCTTGTTCCCATTAGTCCCACAAACCCTTGAAGTGTACTATACTAGCCATGTCCTGTAAACATTTATTGGGCATTCCATGACTCATCTATAAAACACCAGCGACCCGGGATCACATGTAAGCTAACCTCTTCATTTCCACTGTAATCCGGGGTCCAATTTTGATTGAGGCCTGGGCCTCTGTCCAAATTAAAAATTCAGTCTCTTCCATTTTAAACTTGTCTCGAGGATCCACATCAAAATTGCTGAAAACTTTATTATTCTGTCTCTTCCAAATATACCATTAAATCCATGCAAATTGATGATCGTCCATATGTGAAGGAACCCTCCAATATAAATAATCTATGTTTGTAAACAACAACTAGGAAGGAAAAAAGGCAAGATTTTATGAGACCTTATAAAGCGCCCAAACTTATATTACCGGAAGACATTCAAAAACACATGATTAATAGATTATTCGCTGGCTCCGAATCTCGCACATTAAATATCACCTTGTATATCTCTGCTTTGCAAAATTATATGTATCGTTATACAACCCGATATTATTGTAAATTTAAATAGCATTAAGGATCTAGTGTTTAGGGGCACAATTATTTACTCGTCTTGTACTCATTATTTGTTCTTTACCCAATTTTCAAGTATGACAAATTGGGTATCAATTAATAGAATTTAGATATTTGCAAATATAAGATAAATCACAAGTATGAAAAAATGACTTAGTAACAATAAATTAATAATATAAAATAATCAAATACATAATCTCTTTCCAAATATGTTCTTAATAAAAGTTCTAACTTTTGCATACAAACCAGTTTTAAAATTTATTTAGTCATACTATAAAAGTAATATTTGTTTAGGATAATTTAAATTTTCTTTTTGTGTGAAAAAAAAAAAATTTAGCATCTATAGTTTTAGTATATTGCTAGATTTTATAAATATACATATTTTTCAGCAATTTAAATAGTAGATAAAATACGTGATATATTATAAAAATGTAACTGGAATTTTATAATATGTACAGAATATCATTAAGGTTATTTCCATTATTTTAAATTTGGTCACAAAATTAGTAAAAATGAAAATAATTATTTAAAATGTCATATATTAGAACAAATGAATATATTCTACAAAAAAAAAAAAAACTAGAAAATTTTATGCTTTGTATAGAATTATCAAATTATAAGTTACTTATCTAAGATATCAATTTGATTGTTTTACCATGGAAAACCTAAATAAAAACCGATATAGTTTACAACTCCTTCAATTCAATTTGAAAAAAAACACATGCACGGTTGCGCGGATCAAAATCTAGTAAATATTAAAATTAAGAAAACGAAAACAATAAAACAGAACTAGTGATTTATACTCTGTAAATATAGTAAAGAAATATTATGATTCCTTAAAAATAGTATGAGATGGCAATGTTGGTTGACATGAACTAACATGTCAATATGGTATTTCATAAAAGCAAGAATCTGTTTTTTTTATATATTGAAGATTTAATACTGTTAAAAGAATATCGAATATTGACCATAGAAGTAAATAAATAAATAAAAATCATTTGTATACTGGAAAAGATCAAGCACAATTTTGGCAAAAATCTACTCAAACTTATAAGGATGCATACAGGAGTATTATAAATAGAGGTTGATTTCTTGAAAATATATAACAATCATAAGATAAAAATAAGCGAGAGAAAAATAAGACAAAGTTTTTTTTAGGATAAAAAATGGCAAAATGGAGTGCCTTGATAGTAGTGATGTTGATGGTGGTAACTGTTATGGTGGTCACCGCAGAATCAGACAAAGCAACTGGTTTTATTCGTTGTTTCCGTAAGTGTTATGAAACTGAAGTTTGTGAAGATAACGATGGTAATTGTTTTGAACGTTGTAAAATCAAATGTGGTGGTCCAAACCCTCCTCATGGTCCAGGAGGACCTCTAAGTCCTCCTCATAGTTTCTGATGGTAAAAATNTGGTTTTATTCGTTGTTTCCGTAAGTGTTATGAAACTGAAGTTTGTGAAGATAACGATGGTAATTGTTTTGAACGTTGTAAAATCAAATGTGGTGGTCCAAACCCTCCTCATGGTCCAGGAGGACCTCTAAGTCCTCCTCATAGTTTCTGATGGTAAAAATCTTTCTATTCTTTTCATCTACACTTCTAAATTTATGTACTATTTTTTCCCACAGTATTTTCTAAGCATTTATATGGTTTGTTTGCACAAATAGAACATGTGGGATGGGCTAGATGGAAGCTCGCGGAAGGAAATAATGATAAGGGTTATTTTCTGGAATAATTGTGAACATTATATTTTTATGATGTAACGCTGCAATGAATTGATCATATTTAATAATAAAAATTTCTTATAGTATTATTATAATGAGAATTCCAAATTTACCTCAAATAAATTTGATGAAAAATTTTCAGATCAACTTCTAAATGATAAACATTTTCATAAATATCTTAATTTTGTTATGAGAAAGACAAAATTATTCCTTTTAAATCATTATAAATACTAGATCATTTTTCCGCGCTACGCACGGATAGTGACTTTGATTTGTTATAGTTATTAATTTATAATTTATATATGAATTATTACCTTTGATATTATATTTCATTTAATTTAAAAGCAAAATTCATTTTATTTGATTAGTTGCAACTGAATATTTTCATCATTTTCTACTTTTATGGGTATAAATGAAGTACTTTAATTTCATTTTTTGTTCTATTGTAGAACAAAATTTATGTTTTTTTAAAAGACATTGATATTACTTGAAACCAGAAGTTAACATGATTAACAAAATTTATGTTATTGTAGAAGACACTGATACTATTTGAAACCAAAAGTTAACACAATAAATACGAAGAAAATAGGTTTGGTTATAGCTTTTTCTTTTATATTGTTTAATTTCTGCTTATCCTAATTTGAATTGATATGCAATCATTTTTTGATAATATTTGAAACCAAAAGTTAACACGATTAACAAAATTTATGTTATTGTAGAAGATATTGATACTATTTGAAACCAAAAGTTAACACAAAAAATACGAAGAAAATAGGTTAGGTTATAGCTTTTTCTTTTATGTTCTTTAATTTCTGCTTATCCTAATTGGAATTGATATGCAATCGTTTTTTTCTATTTTTCTCTTAATTTTTATTTATGCTTCTAAAAAGAGATGTTAATTTAATAATATTATTTTATAAGTGGGTTGAGTCATTAGAAAAATGATTGCTTATCATATAAAATGATAGTAAAATGTAATATTATATAATGATGTCCAATTTTAACATATAATACAATAAATAAGTTTTCATTTTTGGTGTTGGACCTCTGTATGACTGTATCAAGTTTTGCTAATAAAGTACATGTAACAGTAGTGTAGAATCCAAAATGTCTTCGAAAAAGTAGTTTAATATTTTGGATTCATACAAACGTTAATCGATAAACTCATACAAATGTTAACCGTTAAACTCACTAAAACTATGTTTTAATATAGTTTTTCTGCTGTCTACGGGTTATGACTTGCTGAACATGATATCGAAGAAGAGAGGAAAGTAATGATAGTTGTAACGTAAATTAATTTGTGGTTTTGCAGTTAAAGAAGAGTGTCTTAAGATATAAAAATTTACCAAGTTTTCTTGTGTTAGAGGAAGTTTTTATAAGAGTAGTGTTGGAATGTGAGATAAAATATTATTTATGTGTATGTAGATGATCAAAAAAAATATTTGTTATGTTTTTACGAACTCTTTACCCATAATAGATATGAATATTGTCAAAAGGAAAGTAAGACAACCATCATAAACGTTTAATCTGTCATTGTCCGAATAATATGTAAATTATTGTATTATTTTTATTTTTTGGTTTTAATCATAGCTATTAAAACTAACAAACTGAAATTGTGTTTCTTATAAAAAGTAAGAACATTTAAAAATATGTAGATATAAATAGTTTTTTAAAAATTTAAACTTAATTTAATAGATAATGTTTAAAAGAATTTAAATTTTAGGAAACCAACTACGATTTTACACTATCTAGTTTCCAATTGTTGGAAAAATTTACGTCTAATTGTTACGGAAAAGATAGAATTATCTTGCAGAATTTATGTATTTTCACTATATTATCATTTGTAGACAATAAACAATTTAGATTTTTCTTTGATGGCTCAATTCTCTAAATAGTTTTCATCTAAGTAGTAAACAATATCAAAACTCTGAGACAATTTATTGGTTTTGTAGGAAGGCACAGTGATTGTCAAATTTATAGTAAATCATACTTTATATATATAGTTTTTTTTCTTTGGATTCTTTTACTTAATTTAATAAGTGATGTTTTAAAGAATCTAATTTTTTTGAAAACCAACAACTATTTTACAGTTTTTCTTCTTCCATCTGGCAAACAATATTCTAACCGTCAGGAAACAAAAGATAGTTTATTGCAGAAATATAATAATACTATAATGTTTATTTAATTTCTTAAGGAGTAAACAAAGCACGTTTACATCCACAAAGAATATAATAAACTTAATTTCTTCGGTGGAAAAATATAATATCTAATTTATGAGAATTTACACTTGAATGTACGTAGTGTCTTATTTTTATAGTAATTAGCTTGAGGTCACAAAGAGCTCCAACTGTTGCTAAGAAAGTCCTTCCAAGCAGTATAGATGTCTTGAAGTTGAGCTTGTTCTCGAGGATGTGGAAGTCTGTAGGAATTAGGGCATCTCCAATATGTACCTCAAGATTTCGAACTATGCCTCCAGAGTTCTGCTGAGAACAATCCACGAAGATGAAGGATTCTTCAGTAGGCTCTATCTTCAGACCTAGATGGTCTGCCATGATCTTGGGTAGGATGCTAACTCCAGATCCTATGTCGCAGAGAGCACAAGGGAACTCAACACCTCTTATTGAACATGGTATTGTGAACTTCCCTTGATCACTTTTCTTCTCCAGTGTGATCTTCTTCTTTAGACTAACTCTGACTTGGTGAAACATTCTCTTGATGTCTTCTTCTGTCTCCTTGGTTTCTCTGAAAAACATCCACAATCTGTGTGAAAAGTAGGATTCTTCAAAGGGTTTCTCTTTAGGTATTCTCAGAACTCTCTTTCTGAAGCTTGACAATTCTTTCTCATTAGCTTCCCTTTTATAATGCTTGGGGATCTTCTCTTTCCTTTTTCCGAGAACTCTTCCAGGATTTTCCTTTTCTATCTCCATGGGCTCAAAGATGGCTGGGTCTCTTCATGATGGCTGTTGGAGAGCTTGTGGAAGTGTAATATTGTTCCCTGAGTGTGTCGATACGTGCACTATCTATCTTTGGGAGTTGCACTCAGCGTTGGGGTAATGTGTATCGGGCGACAACTGAGGCATGTCGGTCGATATCACGGTCTTGATGTTGATTGATTGGAGTGTCATCATGTCGATCGATGTCATGTGAATCGACTTTGATAGGGACGGGCGAATGTGGGTGTCGTGCTGCGAAGGCTTTGTGTGACATAATCTTGACAGCACTGCATTCGTGAGAAGTTTTGTCTAAGTCCATCGATCGACACTCGTCAAATTCTATCGATCGCTGTACCCTGGAATGTATCGATCGATGTTCAGGAGATGATATCGATCGATAGTAGTCGAATCTGAAGTCTGTCTCACTCTCATCATCAGAGCTTTGCAGCTTTTGCCAAAATTCATCATCTAGCATGGCATGCACATCATGGAGAGTAGCAAACTGCAGTAGCATACCAGCTCCAGTGATCCAGTTCACATCTTTTTTTGTGTATTCCTCTTCAGCTACAGTTTCTGCATCCTCCACTGAGCAAATCTGCTTGTTTAGTAACTTCTGAACATGATCCAGCTGCGCTTGCACTTCATTAATCTGTTCCTTCCCAAGGAATGATGTAGCTTTTGTCTTCATGGTGTTCTTTGTGCCGTAGCTTGAAGCTAGGTTATCAATCAACTTCACGGCTTCTTGCAGATTCCTGGTGGTGAAATAGCCTTCACTAGCTCTGTCAAGAGCCATCTGATACTTCAAAGTGATGCCTCTGTAGAAAGTGCAGAGCAGTTGCATGTTGTTGAATCCGTGGTGTGGACAATCTCGCTGGTAGGATTTGAATCTGTTCCATGTGTCTTTAAATGATTCTCCAGGATCTTGAGTGAATGTAGCAATTTTCCTCCTCCATTCTTCAGCGCGTGAGTCATTAAAGAAGTTACGCATAAATGCTTTTTTTTTATGTCGCTCCAGGTTGTGAGAGAACCTGGTGGTAGTTGTCTCAGCCACTGCAGAGCTTCTCCAGATAGAGAGTATTTGAAAAGCTTGCAGAGAAGATAGTCTTGAGGGACTCCATTGGATTTGATGACAGTTATGAGATCCTCGAACCTCTCCAGATGGTCCATAGGATGCTCATGGGACAACCCACAGAAGGGTATTTGTCCTACAAGTGTGTAGTACTGCGGCTTAAGCTCGAAATCTCCTCTCTGAATAGTAGAAGGGCGGATGGCTGATCGGTTGGTATAGAACTGATCCGGACGGTTGTAGTCAGCCAAAGTTCTGGCTCTGTTAGCCTCTCCTACAAGCTGAATGAGGTCTGTAGGTACAATTTCTTGCTCAGGAATGATCTCCTTCTGAGCATTCAGCTTCTGACCTGCTGCATTACGCAGGTGATCATCTTGATCACGCAGGTCTCCATTCTCATCAGTAGTGAGAATAATAGTGGCTACCATGTCTTGCCGGTAAGTATCGATCGATTTAAGATGATGTATATCGATCGATGTCGGATGAAAGATTTCGGTCGACGAACGGTTGTTGATGTCGATCGATGGAAAGGTGCGAGTATCGGTCGACGAAGAAGGTGTCTCGGTCGACTGTGGTAAGCGAATATCGGTCGAGGAACGGTTGTTTATGTCGATCGATGCGGAACGTAAGTCTCTGCGGATGCTACGTTCCAAACTGTGGGGATCTTCTGAGTACACAA